AAGCCATGTTGTGGTGGCGTCCCATATAAAGTGGAGATGGGCACGGATGTTAGCCCAGGGCTGGTCTTCCTCAGCAAAAAAAGAGGAGGATTGGGAGATGTTAGCACAGGGCTGATCTCACAAAAAAAAAAAAAAAGAAAAGAGTTTGTGGCATAATCCTTGAGTTCTTTCTTGTTTGAGAATGCGACTATGCTTGACAACAATTTGACTTACTTATTTTCTGGTCATATTTTCTTTCTCTCTAAACTTTGTTCCTGCATTGTCTTTTGGTGGAAAAGTCTAGAGCCAGCCAGACTTTTTCCTTTGTAAATGACTTGCTTTTTTGACTATATATGTGAAGAATTTTTTTGTTGTACTTAGCAGTTTGATGACTTCAGCATGCTATGCCTTGTTGATCATTCTTTATGAGTTTTCCTTAGAGCCCTTTCATATGCAGATTCAATTCTTCCTTTATTTCAGGGAACTTTCTTCAGTTATATCTGAATATTTTTTCTCTTCTACTTATTGGGTTATATACTTCAGAAATACGAGTTTTCCTTATGTTACATCATCTTGTTCTTTGGATCACGTTTTTTTCTGATTATGTTAGTTGCTTTCCACATTATGGTTATCTCAGACTTTCCTTTATTAAATTTGATATCCAGCCTAGTTTACGTATTAGCTCTGCAGTGTTGTGTTTTAGTTCTTAGTTCCTTTCCTTGGCTTCACAATCTCCCTTTTCATCCCATTCTCTTTTATCTGGTAACCTGGAGATTCTTGCTTTTATTGGCTTTGTGTTTTTATTAAGTTTGTGTAGAATGTAAAATATTCTGGAGGAGTTTGATTTTGCTTCTTTTCCTTGTATGTTTTCTTCCAGATTGGGTTTTTCTCTGTCATGTCCTTCCCTCCTTCCTTGCTTTCTTTTCTTCTGTATTACATATCATATCGTTTCACCTCATTTATATTTAATATGGGCAGTTTAGTGAAGTGGTTAAGAGTACAGACTTGACGGTTCCAATGCCTGGGATATAATCTTGGTTCCTCCACTTAACAGTAATATGATATGGGGTCAAATTACTCTCTGTGCTTCATCTTTTTCATCTGTAAAATGTGAATAATAATAATAAATTCCCACCTTGTAAGGTTGTTGAGGGGACTTAATGAGATAAAGCATGTAAAGGTCTTACTAGGCTGATGCTAACCAACATTATTATTATTATTATTATTATTAAACATAAGCAACACCTGGGCTCCTGCTTGACCTGATGGAGTGTAGGGGAATGTTCCTTACCACGCTTCCAGTACCACTGGTCTTCCCCTCTGAGCTCCTTGGTGGGGTCAGAGTCGGGGAAAGGGCCCGGTTTTGACATCTTGTCTTTGAGACTCTGAGCTATTGTCTCTTCTGAAACTTTGTTAGAGGTTCCGTTTTGGAGTTCACTCCATTAGGTGAGAGGTGTATCTTATTCTTTGGAGCCCCTAGGTTTGGGGGCATCTCGCCAGGCAGCCAGTGCAGCGGGTGGAGACCCAGGGGCCAGCCCCCGCCCCGCCCACGTCCTGGGAGCCGGTGGTCGGCTGCTGCTCTCCCTCGCCGAGCTCTGCTGTCTCTGCTCTCCCAGTGCTTCCTCACCCCTCAGGTTACTTCTGAATCCATTTGCAGGGTTTTGTGGACTTATTTCCGTCCCTGCGACAGTGAGGGTGGGGTTAGCATCCCTGCTAAGCTGTCCCCGAATCCTCTCTCTCACCCTGGTCACCACTTTTCAAAGCGTGTAGCGGAGGTCATGCTTCGTTCTTCATTGGCTGATTTTCTGCTGTTGAAAATTTTCCTGGCTATTTTTCACCTCTCGTTGTTGGGAAAGCACAATTCTGTGATCGAATTTTATTCTGCCGTCTTTATCCAGAAATCTTCTGGTGAGCTTTTACAAAAATAAAAGAAAGATAGAAAAAAAAAACATTCCTGGGCCCAGCCCTGGACCTTCCATTTCAGAGGGTCTGGAATGGGGCCCAAGTATCTCCTTTTAAAAAGCCTCCCTGTGGTTCTTACGATCAAACAAGTTTAAATCCAGTATCCTTATTAAAGGATGTTTATTTTCCTCTTACCTTTTAATTGGCCTATCTGAAGAATAAGTTTAGTATATAAAACACTGAAAATTTCTCAGAAAGACCTCGTAAATTTAAAGATGCTCTTTGTGGTTTATTTGCTTGCTTGTTTTTTAAATAACCTCATCGGGCCGGCTCCGTGGCTTAGCGGTTAAGTGCGCGCGCTCTGATGCTGGCGGCCCGGGTTCGGATCCCGCGCGCGCCCCGAGGCACCACTTCTCCGTCCAACCCGGGGCCGAGTCCCACGTACAGCAACTAGAAGGATGCGGACCTATGACGTACAACTATCTACTGGGGCTTTGGGGGGAAAAAATGAATAAATAAAATCTTTAAATAACCTCATACAAATAGGGCAAGAAAGCTAGTCTCCAGAGAATGGAAATGAAAGTGGGTCTTTTTTTGTAGTGGTCCCTGAGAGAAATATCCCTAGGCCTGAAATTCCCTTCTAGACCTCGTAAGCTTTTAGTTTTCTGCCGGTATTTATAAAGTGAATTATTCATCGGTGCTTTTAAGAAGCATTTTGAATTCTGTATATGCTAACGTTGTTGAAGTGATACTCATTCATCAGAACTTGACGATCTTTACAGGATGTCACCCACAACAGGTCTTTAATCCTGTTTAGGATTTGGCTGGTAAAAGGAAGCCATAAAGAGTGATGGTTTTACCTGGATCTGTTCAGGCTGTTTCCTTCCACTAGACATAAAATTTAAATTATTTTTATGGCTGCTAAGGACTCGAAGCTAAAAAGAAAATGTGGATTTAAATAAACCTTTAAAATAATAGTTTTGAAAGAATTTTTTAAGATGTGAATTTAGAAGTGGTATTTTCAATTTGTCATTTATAGCTAACAGAAGAAATGGTTAATATCTAAAACTACGCACTAAAAATGTCTCATATGCAGCCACTAGGCTTTTTAGTACTCCAGTCTCCCATACGTACTCCTCTAAATACGTTTGGAAAAGAATCTACTGATTATGTAGTCATCTGCTCTCCATGTGCTCCCTTTCATTCCTGGTACTTGTAGCTAGGAGGTATTGTTTTTACTAAATCTTCCTTTTAAGGAGTGATTGTGATAAGCCAACTCGAAGAACTGTACGGTACTTTCAACATGCAAGATTTCTCTCTTTTGCATCATTTTCCTCTAAGGCACATTCTTTAAGGAAATATTGCATTTTCACATTCTCTTGGATCTAGATTTATTAGATAAACTGTGCTGTGTACCCAGAGTATCAGTAGAGACAACATGACGTAGTTTATTTGAGTGTAGCTCGCGTGAGCGCAGCCTTCAAGTAAGTGCATTCTTCCTTCATCAGTTTGTCTAATTATAATTTCTAAATTGTCATATACTCATGTCTTCACTTTAAATAACTGCGACACTCGATATTCTGTCGGGTGTTATATATTCCCTCGGAATTTCCAGACTTGAAGGGATGAGAGAGATCATTTCATCCAATCCCCTTGGACTTACAGATGAGGAGCTAGAAGCGCAGACTGGCTCGTTTGAATTCTCCGAGGTCGTGCCATCCAGGCACGTGGCCTCTGGGTTCCCAGAGCTATGTCCTTTTTACTAAAGTCCACTGCCTCTCGCGTCATCCAGTAACACCTGTTAAAGGTGAAATCACATTTCACTTTGTATGTGAAATGTATCCTGATCAAAATTGTAAATTTATTATTGCACATTTTTCTAGGTGATTCAGTAGATTCGGGGGAAATGGGAGAAATAAAATGTGAAATAATGAAAGTAGCTACTGTAAAAGAGGAATAGCAACATGGCATAAACAGGGAAGTGAGTACTGAGATGCTGTCAAATGAAAAGTCCCACTGTGGACCATTAGTCAGCCTCCTGTGGCTGTTTCTCTAACCACAGGGGCCAGGGTCAGGACCCACGAGAAATGAGCCAGTGGAACCAATGTTAGTGAGTTTTCTTTTTTGTGTTTACCCCTTAGTTTTTGTGTAAATCTAGGTGTGTTGAATGTAGAGGAGAGAATTTGGATTCTTGACCTGGAGATGGGATTACAAGAGAGATTAGGGTGATTTTGGCTAATCTGAGTGTGTTCAGTGCAAATCTGCTAGGCAGGTTAAAAATTCTCCTAGTTAAATGTCTTAGCACGAACATCCCCGAAGTATTGTCTGTACTTCCTTCAAGAAGACTTACTTATAGGTAGTTTTCATTAGCTCTTTGGAGGAGCAGCCACACAGCCTTGACAACATGCCCTTGGCACTTTGATTTTTAATTTAAACTTGTGGACACAGTTCGTATACCTTCCTTGGATTTAGGGTAATAATGCTCAACGGAAGATGATCATGAGGGCTTGGTGGCCTGGTGTGAAAAACTGCCCTTAGCTTAGTGCTCCAGATGGAAGCTGCTGTATATATACACGTGGTCTGTGGTCTCCAGTTAAGTGAATTCGGGTCTTAAAATCCTGGTGAGTGACCAGCTAGTGATCATTACTGTTCTTATTTGCCCTACCTTCGAGGTAAAAGGTTCAAAACTATGCAAGTCCTTCATAACAGGAGCTTCATCACACAGGTTGAAAGATGGAGGGAAATAAATGGATTTCAACTGTGGACGTTTTGTGATTTTTTTTTTTTTCCCTGAGGAATATCAGCCCTGAGCTAACATTCATGCCAATCCTCCTCTATTTGCTGAGGAAGGTTGGCCCTGGGCTAACATCTGTGCCCATCTTCCTCCACTTTATATGGGACGGTGCCACAGCATGGCCTGACAAGCAGTGTGTCACTGCGCGCCCGGGATCCGAACCCGGGCCACCAGCAGCGGAGCGCGTGCACTTAACCACTAAGCCACGGGGCTGGGCCCTGTGATTTTTTTGTAACTTGTAAACAAAAGCACTAACTTCATCTTTCATTCCCGATTTCTCAGTTTTCTCTCTATATAAGGTGACATCTCTACATCTTTGTTTTAGGAATCTTTCGAAGAAATACCAACCTAAAAAGAACTCGAAGGAGGAAGAAGAATACAGGTAGGTTTGTCGTTGATAATTGTGTGGCAATCTCTCTATGCCATTGGGGATGATTATGAAGGAAAGGAGAAATTCGTATCTACAAAAATAAGTTGCATTCCCCATTCGTATTTGTGTCATTTTTTAAATTGGGGGAGAGAACAATAAAAATGTACTCAATTACCTTTTCTTATACTGAGTCACTAGGCCTATTCCAGATTGTTTCAATAAAGTGGTTAGGAAAAGCTTGGAATATAATCTAAGCAAATACAGGAAGTGTGGATTATGTGTTCTACAGTCTTGATTTGGTTTTGTAACATCAGGAGTCTCTTTCATACTATTTCATCTGAGAAATATGTCCATTTCAGTCAGCAAGTAAGGCATCTTAACATGGACAGCCGAAAAGTATTATGTCTCTAATTTAGACCTAAACACTCATTACATTAGTACATATAGCATGTATATGTATTTTGGGTTATATTTGGGCTAAGTATTAACAAAGCCAAATATTGCCTTATGTAGAGCAATTTGGTTTCACAAAATGAAAAGTGTTTCAGTTGTAATTAATTCTGACCCATTTTGATGAGAAGACTCTCATGTGTAATGAATTGTCAGGATCCCATGGGAGGTGGATGCAAATTAACCTGATTTTAATTACTATTTCGCCAGTGTAAGGCAGCGGTAGGGTGGACGTGGCCTTGTTTGAAAAGGAGTGTGTGTGTTCTGCTCCACAGGTATACGGCGTGTAAAGCCTTCCTTTCTACCCTGAACGAAATGAACGATTACGCCGGGCAGCATGAAGTTATCTCGGAGAACATGACCTCGCAGATCATTGTGGAGTTAGCACGCTACGTCCAGGAGCTGAAGCAGGAGAGAAAATCGGTAACAAAAGTTTGTTCTCCCTTCCTAAGAGATGGACCAAAGATAATGGGAATATCTCTAGAAGTTTTAAAATTAAATAGAATCATATAAGATGGTGGGTTGTAAACTGATACCTTTGAGAATCGTATCAAAGTGATGGACCCTGTTCCTAGAAAGTATTTCTAGGTCTTTTACATACAATGTCAGGGGTCCGTCAGACACTCAAACTCATTTGTGGACTCCAGAATACTAATCCCCTTTGAGGAATTTATAAATATATTTGAGGATATCAAAGATAAAAAGAGTAAGCAATATAATATGGTATATGCTCTGTGGAATAAATAGTATTAAAATAAATGCTTATGAGGAGTTCAGAAAAGCCAGAAAGGTGACCTCAGTTACATCCACTCCGTTCCTTGGCTCATTCAGTGCCATCTCATGAAGAGGACATTTTTGTTCCTCTTGACACCATTACAGTGTTTTCATAGCTTTTATTGTTAACAAAAGAGAAGAATGTAACTCAAGTCAAGTCTATTCATAGTCAAGATTTTGCCCTAAGAGGTTTATCTTTAAGCCTAGGTCATTGTACTCTGATCGCTGTGAGGTGCATGATAAGAATTTGTTAGTAATCAAGTACCAAAGTTGCCCAGATATGCTTTTTTATATAAATTTGAGTCCATAATAATTCTTTAGTGCTCTGGAGATCCATGAACCAACAAGATAGATAGGATTCCTGCTGAAATGGAGGAGATATTAAATAATAATGACCAACACAATGATTGAATTGCAATTACGAAAGTTGCTACAAAGTACGGGTTTTATAACAGGCATACGTAGCATGTTCATGCTCGAGATCAGGGAAGAGCCTCCCAGGGGACTTAACAGCTAAGGCTTGAAGAAGACTTGAGGGATGAGTAGGAGTTGCCTGGGGCAGGCATTCAGTAGAGGGCACAGCCAGTGCAAAGGTCTTGAGACAGGAAGGTGTTTGGAACATCTGAGGAGTTTAGTTCTTTCTAAACTATAAATATGTAGAACATGGCTTTGGGTGTGTTTAGAAGTTAGGAAGAGATACATGCCTTAAGATCAATCCATTGGTTTGATAAAAGGTATGTTAATAAACTGAGATGAAGTTTTTACCTATTCATAACCAGGCACAATTTTGCTCCCCACCCCAGGAACATTTGTCAATGTCTGAAGACATTTTTGGTTGTCTGCGGCATTGTAGCTGGAGGGTTGCTACTGGCACCTGGTGGGTAGGACCCCGGGATGCTGTCAAACATCCTACAATACACGGAACAGCCTCCACAACAAAGAATTACCTGGTCCCAAATGTCCATAGTGCCCAGGTTGAGAAACCTTGCACTAGAGCCCCAAATTAGATGACAGCTTCTATTAGACCATTCATTAAAGAAGATCTTTTCTTTTATATGATGGAAAGGAAGCAGTGAAACAGAACACTAAGGTTCAGGATGAAGCACAAATACCTGATATAATCATAAAGTAAATACAATAAATCTGACACCATGTTGGACTGCTTCCCTGGTTCCTGAACTTCCCCCAACCTTGCAAAGTTAATACTTTCTTCCTGTTGGTTACTCTGGTCCCTGCTTTGTGTCTCTTGACTGACCTTCCTCCACCCATATAGTTGAGCATTTTAGCAACACTCTAAACAAAACTCTATGCATTTACCTTAGTATAGAGTATAAATTCTATTTCTGGAGTGAATCATGAGATGTGAAGCCCACATAACCTGGCCTCTCATTACTTCTTTGAATTCCTCTCCTCCACCCACATGGCCTCCTTGCTCCTCTTCATCCATGCCCCTTGTGATCGTGCCTCAGGGCCTTTGCACTGGCTTTTCTCTCCTTGGAAAGCTTTTCTGCCAGCTATCTGCAGAGCTCACTTGCTGACTTCTTTCTCGGGAGTATCACCTTCTCATTGAGGTCTGTCTTGTGCACCTTATTTAAAATTACAGAGTCCCTCCCCTCCCTCTTCTCCCTGCCCTCCCCTCCCCATTCTTACCACCTTCCTCTGCTTTACTATTTTTCCGTGGTACTGACCAGCATCTAACGTTTTACAGATTTACTGGTTTCTTTTTCCCTCACCCCACACTAGAATGTAAGCCCCACAAGGGCAAAAATTCTCCTGTCCACTCTTGTATCCCGAGCACCTAGAACAGTGCCCAGTGTGGCACACAGCAGACTCTCAGTAAATACTCCTGGAGTGAGAGAGATAATTAAGAACAGAAGTAGCAGCCTTCGACGCAGCTTGGTTCTCAGCTAGACGTTGTTTGCCGGTGGAGGATCCTTGTATTTCTTCGCTGTGTTATGATAGGGTTCTTTTGTTTTACTTACTCACTGTTAATCATATGTCTTTTTGACAGTCTGTCATATCTGTATTTTGAATTCTGTTCCTTTTTTATCAGAAATTATAGTAATTTATAGAGTAAATTATAGGTAGTACAGATATGCATTAAATAATGTCTTGCAATACACAATGTTCCTTTTATTTTAAGGAGAATTACCAGTGCACATCTCTGACTCAGATACTCTGTTGGGAGGAGCTGCGAACACCATGCTCTCTTGAAGTATTTTGTAATTACAGTCACGTGTCGTCGCTTAACGACGGGGATCCGCTCTGAGAAAGGCGTGGTTAGGTGATTTCATGTTGTGCGAACGCCACAGAGTGTAATTCCACACACCTAGATGGTATAGCCTACTACACACCTAGGCTACATGGTACTCATCTTATGGGACCACCGTCGTATATGCGGTCCATAGTTCACCAAAATGTCATTATGCGGCACATGACTGTATATTAAAATGAAATTTTAGGAAATTGTGAACGCTTTTCAAATTCTAGAAAGCATATCCGAAAGCAAATGTATATTTGTGGTGTTTTAGTATAATGCATCATGACCATTTTTGCTTTTTTCTACGTAATGGTTACCATTATTTTGAAAGACTGCATAATGTAGCATGATGTTCTATGTTGATACAGTGTAATTTTTTAACTTATCCTGATACTATTGGATATTTAATTGTTTGCCCTCAAGTGTTCATTGTTTCAGATTATAGTAAGTGACATCCACTGCACTTTACATTCAGTCCTCACAGTATTCCCTTGGGGAGGCGGGACCATTATCTTAGTCAAGATAAGATTATCAAGTCAAGGAGCCTGGAGGCAATAAGGGAGGAGAGTGTCGCCCCTGGTGGAGCTGGGTTTCACATCCAGGCAGCCTGCCTCTCAGGGCAGCGCACATCCGCAGGCATGTTTTTGTTTCCACTGAGTTATTTTCTTTAACTTACATGCAAGGATGCCTGATTGAATAGCCTGAACGTCTTCACCGGCAGTCAGCTTGAGAAAAGGAGCTCCTGAGATTGTCTCAGACTAAAAATAGTTCTCCTTTAGAGCTTTCACTTTTGGCTGCCCTGACTTTTCTTAGTAAGTGATCTGATTTTCGTAAGGATGATTCTGAAAACCACAGCAGAATGTGATCGCTTCTACTTTCTGGTGACATTAATTATCAGCAGAAGTGGCACAAGAGAGCTAGACCTCAAATCCGGGTCTTCTGATGTCAAATCTAGTTGCCTTTTTGCTGTGCTGCCATGAAGGGCTGACAGTGTGCTTGGATCTTCCCTAGAAGGGAGAGCCAAAATCAGTGGTGTGTCCATAGACCTGCAGCTCCCTGCGAGGCTGTCAGGCGAGGAGAGGAATGGACTCGGGCTTTCCAGTCAACAGGTGGGCTAAGGATTCTGGCAGCCCACCAGCTGTGAAACCTTAGGCAGGTTACAAAAACTCTCTGAGCTCCCCGTTCTGAGTCTGTAACTGAGGGCTGATCACAACCACCCTACAGAGTTGGAGGGAAGATTGCAAGAAGGCAGGCACAAACCACCTAGCACCGCTCGTGTATATTGCTACATTGGCACTGCGAACGCCGTACCTCTTATCATGCTCATTCTGTTTCTCAGTACCAAATCTCATTTCTATCCCAGAGCTTTTTGATCAGGGTTTATTAGAGAAAACAGGAGTGTATACGGTCCTCCTCGTGACCATATGTCCCATCAGTAGTTGTCCAGTGCATTTAAAATGACCTTTCTAAAAATGTTGAATTGGTGGATGGCATTGAAAACAAGCTGCTCTAAGAAGTTTAGGTCTAGCTGCTATTTCTCATGGCTGACTGGAAATAATGTCTTGCTTAAGTACCCTTCTTAAACATCCATGTAATACCTTTTGGGCCATTTGATACCGTGGTGAAATCCTGTCTGCCCGAAAGGACGATTTGGAATTTACAGGATTACTGCTTGATCTTTTACTGTATATAGAGTATTTCCAAGTTCAGTTTAGAATACTAGTGGAAAATTATTTTTCATCTAGATTTTGCTATGTTTGAATAGACGAATCTCTAACAAGAATCTGCGTGGCGAAAAATAGCTCACTATGCAAAAGATGAGGTTTCCTTCCCTTTTTATATTGAATGAAAGGAAGTAGAAGAAAGTAAGGTCGTGGGAGAGAGAGATGTTCTCCTTGCCTTTGGGGCCATGTCATGATGAGCCAGTTGTTTGATCTTTAAGTCTTAAAATCGCCAATTGGAAAATAAGATAGTGCTCGCTGTTCACGTTTTTTAGGAGACAAGGTGATTTTTTTTGCAGCAGTTTCTACAGATACTGTATTTTCATATTACAGTGCAGCTCACTCACATAATACTATGAATAACCAGTGTTTGTCCTGACACACAAATCTGTAGGCTCATTTTGGTGAAAAGATGTTGATTTTTCAAAAGTAAATTCTTTCAGAGAGAACCTTGACTTGGCATCTGCGAGAGCGGGGCAGTTCGGGCTCTTCCCCGCCTGATGTCTGTCTGAGCAACAACTCGCATCAGGAGACGTGAGCTGTCCTGGAAGCCCAGATGCGGGGGCTGTTAATTTCTTCATCTAATGGACTCCACTATGGCGGCTGTGTTTTTGGCAAGATGTTCGCCTTCCCTTTAGAGATAATGGGGTCAGGGGCCTGTCTTTGGG